TTAAAGTAAGCTTAGTTATTGCATTAAGTGCACTGGGGTGCAAAACCAGTGCTGCACCATAGCTAACACCTGTTGGAAACTAATTTAGGGGAAACAGTGTACAAGTAAACAAATGAGTCATCGGCATGGATTGGTACAGCGGCCGTTAACCCCTTTGTATAGAGAACAATGCATTACTGTCACCTTCTGTCATTCACAGGAAAGGTGAATGAAAATGTTACCATTATTAGATGAAAAAATCATTTAAATTACTTTAGCAAAAATCTGGAAAATGTAATCATTAAAAGTACCTCAACTTGACAGGATTTAGAAGTACAGTAAACCCTTGTTTTTCGCGGGGGTTACGTTCCAAAAAGAACCCGTGATAGGCAAAATCCGTGAAGTAGACATCTTTATTTTTTTTTACAATTAAATACTCAGAAAAAGAAGAGAAAGAACGAACAAACCATTTTACAGTCTCAACCATTTGTTTCACAAACGAACGGAAGATTCATTAATTCCATAATGCCGACCTACAGCCGCATAGCTTTTACCTTCATTTAGCATGTCCAATAGTTTTACTTTATCACCAATAGACAGCATCTTCCACTGCCTTTTGGTCCCTACCGCAGGTACTTTTGCCGGTCCAGAGCGTTTTGTCGACATTATGGGGTTTGATAAACTCGAAATTGCAAGAGAATTTGCACGTACGTAATGTCAATTTGGCAAGCTGTTTTACGTACGTGTACATATTAAACCCCAACGTTATTGGCGCACAGGTAGAGAAGAAGCGGAGTGACTTTTTAGCCAATCAGAATGCAGAACACAATGCACGATGCAAATCCGTGAAGTAGCGAAACCGTGAAAAGTAAACCGCGCTATAGCAAGGGATCACTGTATACGATAATGTTACACACTGAATCTACAAACAAATATCTTATACTATTTACTTTAGATATAATCCCATATCCCTAATTATTCAGGAAATAATCCTCTGATAAAAAAAAACAAAAACAAAAAATGCAGTATGTGTATTATGAGTAATACATAAAGAAAAATCCAAACAACCTGATTCCCAGATTCATGTGTTGTGCTTTCTATAGTTTCTGCCAACGTACGCAAGTGAAATAACTTTTGGGGATTCAAACATTATGCTATGGGAGAGAAATATTCTGTCGTTGTTTCATTGTTACTTAAAGGTAAAAATATTTTCTTTTGTGACTAAACTTTCACCAAAGATTGACTGATCTAAACTGATTTCTTTCTCAACTACACAAAAATATTTAAATTTGAAAGTCTGTATACGCAACAGTTCTTACAGAATAATTCCAGTACATTTATAAGGTTAGAAACTTTTTACCAGGTTCAGTGTCTGCAGCAAGTGAAGATGTTCACAAGATGGTTAACATAGCAAGGCCATGTAGATAATGACCCAATAAAGATACACTTCCTGTTGTGGTTTAAAAAGGCTGAAAGTGCAAACCTCTGGCTGTCCATGAACCACACTTTGCTCCACTTCTTTTGGCTTCTGCACTCTGCATTAATGCAACTTGTCCAACTGACTGCTAGAAGACCACAGCAAGACAAAGTAAAAGGAGGAAAAGATCAGTCCATTCCCGGCACAAATAATAACAAGCGTCAGTGAAACGCTTAGGAAATTCCATCTGTCGACAATAAAAGTATAAAACACCAGTTTAATCTTAATTCCTTCATTGGTCGTCACAAAAGGATGATCTCTTTTGTCCACACACAGTTTGCCAAACTGTGATGCATCTTAGAAATGCTTATTTACAAAGTTAGGAAAAGTTAGGAAATCGACTTTAATGACTCAGGGCCAATTTAAAAGATTATGCTTTTGAGGTCATTTTTTTAAGTATCATTTAAAATCCAGCAAAAGACCATCAACTTTTATCTATGTGAATAATTTAATAAAAATGAAAATACATTTCCCAGTGTTATGAGGGGTTTTTATATTATCTTCTTCTTTATTCTTGTTTGGGATGTCTCGAAGTATACCTAATACGTTTAATGCTAAACATCTGCAGTTTTCATGTCATGCAGGGTCTTGTTTAAACTTGCTCCGGTGAAAGTCATGAATGGAGAGAGTCACTCCAGCTGAAGAATTCAGCAACAATAACTCAGTCAGGAGTGTTTTTCAATGACGTAAGACAGAAAGACATGATATTAGCAAACTTGCAAACTGCTGGTTTAGTAGTGATCTGCGTACACAGGCTATGCCAAGTACAGATATTGCTTGAAAAAAAAGAAGAAGAAATGAACAGTGTTTTGCCAATTATTTACCGATATATAGATATACTGTATATAACACACAGCACCACCAATGACCTATGTGGGAACTATAGATAAAGGGCAGCTTATAGAAAGTGAACTACATGATGTGAACAATCTCAACACCCACACTGTGTCTGTGACAAATAACCCACCTTGAAAGTGGAAAAAAAAAAATCCCACAAGTTACCACTCGCAAGAAGTCAACATCATTAGCTAGGTGGAAAAATGAGAGCACTTCACTTGGTGTTGGACATGACAATAGCTTACATAATACAGTGTACAGTGTGTTTTCATCTTCCTAAAGCAGGGTTCGACTACATGTAAATGAAGCAGCAGATAAATGTATTAGACTTTGAGGAGAGTGTGATAAAAACATTATCATCACAACCTATTTAATAATGAATTGGAAAAAACATAGTCCTTTGCAGCTTATCCTCTGTGTAAACAGCAATTAACAGCAGTTACAGGAATTAATGGAGAGTGAACAACACTGTCCATCATTAAATTACCATTCAAATATGACATGTTATGAGGTGAACAACCTCAACACCCACACAGTGTGTGATAAATGAGCTGAAGTGCAGAAACACCAGAGCGATTATAACCCACCTTGAAAGTGGAAAAAAAAAAAAAATCACACAAGTTACCACTCGCAAGAAGTCAACATCGTTAGCTAGGTGGAAAAAAAAACCCACTGTCCCATTTAAAAGAAATGCATCTGAATTGAACACGATTTCACAGAAATTCCTATGATCACATTGTTCAGGTTAATGTTTTGGGGGATTTTTTTCTATAGATCTGCTGTTGTTTTTTTATGTTGTTTTGTTATTTTATGCAGCTGAACTGACATCAAAGAACCAGGTTTGTCAGAGATGGATGTGGGATATAACCTTGACTCATCTGAAGAGTTTTTTTAGGTGGTCCCGTGTTAGTTTCTAAAGCAAACCAAATGCTGAAACATTGGCAACAGCCAACAGTTCGAAAGCCATTGGTGCCAGTGCTTTTAAAAAGTTTACAAATACAGTCAAAACAAGAAAGTCTCTTTCTCTTTTTTTACAAGTAATGTATTTTATCACAGACACCAATCCTGAAACAACAGTCCCAATGTAAATGTAAAAAGACAATCATATTATTGGGATATTATTGGTCATGGCCAATGACATGTCCCGATGGCTCTTTTATTTGATGATAAAGTCTCTCTTCGTCCTCCGCCTCAAAGCAACCCCAAGAACAGTTGTTCTAAACCAGAAGGGAAAAACCTCAAATATTGACTTCAATCCATCTGAAAGCAGCCTATAATTCTCCCTCATTCACAAGTAAAGCTGCACCATTTGCCAATGTTTTACTGTCATCCTGGTTAAAACATTAACCAATGTTTCATCCGGTATTACCAATCAAGTAGACTTATATGAACACACATTTACAGTGCTGCTTGAAAAAAGGATAGATAGATTAGATAGATTAGATAGATAGATTAAACACTCCAACGTCATTGTCATGTCAACAGACATACTTTATGAAAACTACCAGTTTCAGCAATACATAATAATGACCTTAAGTCTTAGTTCTCATTAGGAAACCCAGCTTTCCCCAGCAACACTAATGAAAGTCATCTTTGTTTGAAATGTGTTGTTGTGTCTAAGATAACCACTTCTCGTTAGCGTAATGGTTAGTATAAAAAACATGAGGCAGAAGACTGGGGTTTGACTTTCCTACACAACACAATAAATTGAGGAGCTACATAATTACATAAGCTTCACTTGAACTAGAATAACCAGTAATAGCTGGCCCTGGATGTATACATTTGGTGATGTTGGCTTTGATTTTTCAGTCAGGAAAATCATATGCAACCCATCCTCTCTGTAGGCAACTCTCAGGAAATTCAGCTAGCCTCAAACCTAAATGAGAGCACTTTACTTGGTGTTGGACATGACAATAGCTTACATAATACAGTGTACAGTGTGTACAGTGTTTTCATCTTCCTAAAGCAGGGTTCAACTACATGTAAATGAAGCAGCAGATAAATGTAATACTTTGAAAAGAGTGTTATAAAAAGATTATCATCTCAACCTATATAATTACGAACTGGAAAAAACAGTCCTTTGCAGCGTATCCTCTGTGTAAACAGCAATTAACAGCAGTTACAGGAATGAATGAAGAGCGAACAACACTGTCCACCATTAAATTACCATTCAAATATGACATATTTTTATGAAGAATGTGGGGAAAATAAACGTATGCGCCTTACGGGTATTCAATGACCACAAATAAGAACTCTATAAGGACGAATACCCACACTCCCAACTGAGTAAACAGTACAACTAAAGAAGACGACAATGTAACGCGAGGTCAAACTTAATGTTAACAGAATGGCATACACACCCATGCTGTACAGACATGAACAGTAGTCCAACTGTAGAAACCTGTTCACCGCTGCTCACAAACTACATAAAATAGACTTTTACTAAAGTACACACAGCACGAATCTTTGGCTAAAATGCGCAGTCAGTGGAAGAAGTAGAGATAAATCTGTTTATTCAGACGTGATTAAATCTCTTTTCCCCCAACCGCCAGTTTTCAGTTCGCTGGAACCAAAAACTATTTTGACCGTTTGTTTTTTTTTTAACTTAAAACAGATGAAAGTTCGCCGACATGATGACTAAAGGTGTGGGGAAACAGAAGTCTACACAACACACATGTAAAAACAAGCCCCGTCGACGAACACTTACCAGACCATTCCGTAGGCTCCCTCACCGATGTAGGTAAGGCTGCTGTACCGAGGCCCGACGTCGAAGGCCTGCCCGCGGAGCGCTCCGTTCCCGGCCCGGGGCTGGGCCCGCAGCCAGCAGGGGCAGGCACGGCAGCTGTCGCCATTATGAAGACTTGCTTCTTAGAAGGCTATAAAATGCAAACAGAAAATATCGACTAAGATATGAAATCGGCGCGTCAGTGTCAGCGCGTGCTTATATTCGTCGTCGCTGTGACTGTCTGCAGCGGACTGTACAGTGAAAGGCCTTCAATACGTGAGAAGTGTGCGTGGTTTTTCTAGCCGTGCCTTCAGACTATTATGGGGCTGTCTCTGGCAGGAGTGAGTAGCGGAGAGCGGTAGCTGCTGCAGAACATAAAGGAGGTGGTCATGTGATCTGCCCCCTCCCGCCCACTCAATATTTCTTTATTACTTTTTATTAAACGACACTGTGTTGCGTTCAGGTCCAATTTCTTCAACAGTTCATTAAATGTCTGAATTTAATTTAAGGAACACAACATATCAGTTTTGAGCTGAGTTAACAGGGCCGTTAGTAAAGACGTTGGGGTCCAATTATTCATTGGCTGTGATTAGCCCCCTCTATGATTTTCTTTTTATGTTTCCATGACGTGAAGACCTCTGTTGTCTGAAGGGTTCACACCATCTCTCTTCTTCTTGTTTTACCAGTATCATGTTGTGTATTTACTTTCTAAGGTGCACTGAGGGACTCCTTAAAGATTGTTCAAAGTACTTACCTGGTACCTTTACAAATATATTAAAGCTGGAACTAATCCAAGTGTGCAGTAGTCTGCAATGCAGGGATGGAGAACGAGAAGTGAAGAAAAAATACAAATTTTCAAAAGTTTCTTATTTTTTCCCTACGGACTAAAATTTACATCCAAACGCATTTGACCAAAGAATCAGTTGGACCATCAAGACCAATTAAACGTTTAATATCTTCACAACGAAATGTATTTAAGTTAATTTAAATGCGGGAGGAACGGAAACTTGCCAAACAAATCACATTTTAATTTTTAAAATCTCAGCGCTTGGTTTTTGTTTTTTAAACAAATACGCCACATGTTTCAAACCGTTTATAAATATCACATTATTCAATTATTATACTAGTTATAGTTGTACGATATAAAAACATAATATGTTGCATCTAGAAATTTGGGAAATACTTCCTTATTAATAACAAAAATGAGCTACAGTAACTGTTGGAACAAACTTGCTGTCATTTCATTGACTAATAATTAAGTCATATTCATCATCGACAGCGGCTCAGTGAGCAGATGGATATGTGGAAATAATATGTGGGATTTTCTTGGGTCGCTGAGCCATCCTAACCTCTAGATGGCAGTGTGAGCAAAACGTTATCATAAGACAGAACGAGAAACAGGAAACGTTTGATACCTCACTATCAAGTCAGGCGACATCAGCTCGTCATCAAATCCTGTTTTGCACATTGTTCAAATAAAATGTATATCGTAAACCAACGTTACACAAAAAGTCGGCTTTTTTAATCTCATATGTGTATGCGTTCAGGTATGTTTAGGATTCATAATTAACAAAACAAAATATTTAATACACCAATACACATTGCATACACTAAAGCACGCGTGCATGTGATGCTCTTTCTTCTTCGTGTTTTATTAATGAAAATAAATAATTTCAGGCTTTTTCTTGAGAAGACTATTAACAATGTGAACCAATTGTTTTGAAGAATAGCTGAACAATTCATTGCTCAAATATTAGCTATGATAAATAAATTATTGGATTAGGCTCCTAATGTTGAATCAGACATTTTTTAAATGTAGATATTAAATTTACATTATTATTGTAAATTATTTACATATTAAATTTTTGTATCTTAAATAACATGAGGTACGTTTGCGTGAAAGATATTGGTCAGGTGAACAACTGGGTCCAATCTACTTGTTTTATACGTTGCCAAAAATAACGTACAGTACTTAGTATTAATTATTTTAACTTTTTCCTCAACAAATGACATTTATCTCTGCGTTTCGTTATGCGGCGTTTGTTTCATTTTGAAATCTCAAAACCGGAAACTATGATCACAATATTGAGAACTTGGTCTGTCTGTTAAGCCTGTGCCCTTGACTGCCCCACGTGAGTCTGTCAGTTCTTCTTGTCCTCTTGTGAAGCTTTAAGCTAACTCTTAAAAATAGATAAAAAAGAAAAGAAAAATCACGTCTGCGCTACTAATGATCATTTTCTGATGCAGTAACCACCATGTCCCTAAGAAGCAAATCTCTGTTGTTTCTGCTGCGGCGTTGCGCCGCAGTCCGGCAGCCGCAGTTAGTGACAAGCTTCACATCAGGAGGCGGATTCATCCAGCAACGAACCTGGACATCAGTGACCCGGAGAGGCTGCGTACACGGGATATGCCAGGTCCAGCCTGCGGTGGAAATCGGACAGTTCCGCTTCTGTAACAAGGTCAGTCAGTCACTCATAGACAGATAGATGGTTGGGATGGTTTAGTCTACTGTCAATGTATTGGGGTTTGTTTTAGGTTAAGATAAGGTTCACTGCCAAGACTGACTGTCTTGAAAAGTTGTGAAGAAGGGTTCATTGGCTTTCCACCAGGCTGAATCGTCTTGTGTGGATGAGTATCCACCACTGCCAGCCTACCAGTCTGATGAGCCGGAGAAGAAGGAGGTGTTTATCGTGCAAGTGAATGGTCTTCCATGGTCGTGCTCAGCACAGGACCTAATGGAGTTTTTTTCTGGTGAGATCACTTCTATACGTTTTCTGTAGATTATTGCTTGGCTACCACTTATAGATTTCTAAGCCGTAAGTAAGCTAAATGTAATTATTGTTTCATTACATAAATGCAGAGTGCAGAATCCGTGATGGGCAGAGTGGTATACACCTGACCGTGGACAGACTGGGGAGGCCGTCAGGACGAGCCTTCATTGAGATGGAGCACAGAGAGGACGTCAGCAAAGCTTTAGAGCAGCACCGTCAGTACCTCGGTTCAAGATACGTGGAAGGTTAGTGGCATTAGGAATCATGAATCCAGTTGACAACATATTATCCTTAGTTATCGGTGATGCAACATTACCATGTTACACAAAAACAACATTATTGCTGATGTTGTTGTTGTTGATGTTATTTTTATTAGGTCTACAGGAATGATAATAACCTACGGCTCTTACAGTTTGTACCTTAAACACTCGACTACTGACGCATTTCATTTTTTTTGTGATCCTCCTCCAGCTGTTTTTGTTTTTTAAATGTTCCAGTTTGTCATATATGTATTGAATATAACTCACACTAAATCTTTTTAACATCAGTTAAACATTGCTATAACCAAATTTTCATATAATAATGAGTTCATATAAATAAACATTTTTTCATTTATCTGCAGTATTTGAAGTGACAACGAGTGATGCTGAAGCCATTCTAAAGAAAGCCCTAGCCCAAGTTGCTGCAGATGACAGTACAGTGGTCCGACTCAGGGGTTTGCCCTTCACATGTACGGAGGACAACATAGTCCAGTTCTTTACAGGTGACTGTCTCAGACGGACGTGTCGTTTATAATACTAATTTGTGATTGTTCACATCATCACCCTTAAAAACTGTGCCACTAATGTTTCATGTGGGGAAAATATATATATGTTCATATTACTTGATGTTAATGTAAATCTCATAATTCTTCTTTCATCGTCAGGTTTGGATATAGTGGAGAATGGTATCACCTTCGTCACAGACTTCACAGGAAGGAGGTCTGGAGAAGCCTTTGTCCAGTTTTCCTCTCATCAGGAAGCAGTTGAAGCTCTGCAGAAAGACAGAGAGTTTATAGGAAACAGGTAGGAAAGTGACCTCTGTCAAAAGCACCATCATCGGGTGGTGGTCTTTTACTGACATGCTGGTCTTTTTTTTATATAAATATTTACAGATACATCAAGGTCTTTCGCAGCAAAAACGATGAGATCAACCCCTGCTCCGAAATAAAGATGACGTTGGGGCCTGCTCAGATCGATCCTCAGTCGGAAAACACGATTGTCTCTGCTCCGCAGTGCAACCCTGAAACTGGTGAGAATGTGTAGGAAGACAAAGACCTTGTATAACATTTGGGAACTTTTCTGTTCTTTATAGTGCATGATGGTTTTATAAGTCAGTGTAATTGTTGCTACAATTAAAATTTTCACTTGCATTTAACCAACATATAAAACTATATTGTAAACAACATTGGACACACAGGAGACGTGGGTTGCACACCACTGCCCTATCTGATCATCCCACTACAGGCTGCCGAGGTTGTTTTACCCCAAACCTTTTATTTGTTTGTCTAACTATCATTTAAGGGAAATGTCACAGTAATTATCAGTTATACGACTATGTCATCAAGTTGAAAATAAACTAAAGGTACTATTTTTGTCACATAAAACTGACTCTAATGGTTCCTTCTCCTCAGAATCCATCCAGAGCTTCGAGACGACGCTTCATGACACCTATTTAAGAGACTCTTTTTCCAAGGCAACCAGTCAAGAAGCTAAGGAGGTAAAAGTGTAAAATAAAAACCCTTAGACACAAGAAAATATTCAACTAGTAAAAAACATAACTATCCTGAAACTGTTATAGCCCAGAAGGTTTCAAATCAAAAATATAATTTTGCTATTTGTCATTGAATTATTTTTAGAAATTTCTGCTTGTGCCATACCTAACATATGTCACACTTTGCCTTTCAGTCTGATTTATCTTCTGATGATGAGCTTACACCACAGCCAGTCCAACAGTCTGAAGAGCCAGAGAAGAAAGACGTGTTTATCGTGCGGGTGAAAGGTCTTCCATGGTCGACCTCTGCAGAAGAAATCATGCACTTCTTCTCTGGTAAGAGACGTTGACCAAATGTCATCTAACATTGAAATGCTTTAAAAAAAGCCATTTGGTCTAAATAATTATGATCAGTAGTGTGTGATTTTTTTAAAGCCTGAAATTGTCAATAAAAGTAAAAAACACAAGTTAAAAAAAATGGATTGATTTTGAAAAGAGATACTTCATCTCTAATACAGACTGCAGGATCCGTGGAGGGTTAGATGGAATCCATCTGACTCTGGACAGACGGGGAAGGCCATCGGGTCGAGGCTTCATCGAGATGGAGGATGAGGAAGACGTCAGCAGAGCTTTAGAGAAACACAGACAGTACATCGGTGAAAGATATGTAGAAGGTTTGTCTCTTTGAGGGACGCGTACATTCATGATTAAATAGACTTTTCAGATTTCATTTCATTTGTATGAAATCACGTCACTTGTGTCTGCAGTGTATGAAGTGACGAACAGTGATGCTGAAGCCATGCTGAAGAAAAACCTGGAGCCTAACGCTAAAAGTGAAGTGGTCCGGCTTAGGGGTCTGCCCTTCACATGTACAGAGGCCGATGTAGTCCAGTTCTTCAGAGGTAAGGTATCTTGGGTTGTTGTTTTTAGAATAATAAACATTGACTGTTTTAACAGGTTTACAAACAGCACAGGTAAAACTACACAAACACAAGCTATAACATTACTTAACACATTACATATTTGGTTGATTTAGCAGTAAATTAAATTCATAGCCACAGACAAATTGTGCATGAGGAGCAAGAATGTTTGATATTTCTTTCCTTGGTAGTCTGTAGCAAATATTCTGTAGTAAATCTCATAATTCTTCTTTCATCATCAGGTTTGGATATAGTGGAGAATGGAATCACCTTTGTAACAGACTTCACAGGAAGGAGGTCTGGAGAAGCCTTTGTCCAGTTTTCCTCTCTGCAGGAAGCAGTTGAAGCTCTGCAGAAAGACAGAGAGTTTATAGGAAACAGGTAAGTAATACAACCAATGGCTACTTCTACTCCGAGTATACAGTAGTATCTCATCTGATACATGCCTGATGAGTGACATTATGCATGATATTACAACAGCCATGATTGGCTGGTCATTTCGACATATTTTGAGGCCTCTGGACATTCATCTATGCGGCTTAGCTCTAGACCAGTGGTTCTCAAACTGTGGAGCGCTCTCTAGTGGTATGCGTGGAAAAATCACATTTTCACATTTACATTTTCAATTTAATAAATCTGAAACATACCATGCACAATTAATACAACATTTAGGAAAAATGTGTAGCTACTTCTGAGATTATGAAATAGGATGTCTGGTCTTTTTTATTTATGTAATGGTTTTTTTTGCTGCAATGCAAGTCTGTTGCTCAAGTAAGGCACAGGCAGCACAAAATCATGGGATCACTTACAAGTTGGTCATCATGGTGGTACTTACTACTTACATTGTGGAAAGATCAATGTTTTCTCAGGTACAGAGTAGATAAAGTCAGAGAACCACTGGTCAAGACACATAAATGGTTGTTTGGCTTTAAAAGGCAGTTTTTAAGGGTCAAGTTCAAGTCACACTGCATGTGATGTATTTTGACAATGTTAATCTTTCTTTAAAAATTACAGATACATCAAAGTGTTTTCCAGCTCCAGTAATGAGATTCACCCTAATTGGAGGATGAGGGCTAATATGGCGTTTGCTCATCAGCCTGTGTCCGACCCACTGTGTGGCTCAGAAACTGGTATGGTACTCCACAAAACAGTGTGTTGTTAATACTCACACAATACCAAATGTTTTGTTAAAACTCGGTGTGTTATCACCACCAGGTTCCCTGCAGAGCTCAGAGACATTGTTTCATTACCAACAGTCAAGAAGTCCATCTGCACAAGCATCTCAAGATGATGCTGAAAAGGTGAAAATTGTCTTTTTAGTTTTACAAAAACGTATCCTCTGACTTCCCTGGTAATGGCAACAGCTTTTCTGCATCCTTTATCTAAAATGTACGGAGCTCCTAAAAGGGACATGGGGGGTGGGGGGAAGAAAAGTATCTCCTGCTCACGAGATACTATCTCGTGAGCAGGAGAAAGATTATCTAAGACATTTTTCCACACATACATACCGGGTAATACATTTAAAAAACAAAACAATCATGTACCGTACTTGCGGTACAGGCATGTCATGTGTGACATGTTTACTGTATATATGGTGAGCATTTAATTAATGTAGGATACCTCAGTTAGACACAGGAGGGCACTGTTGTTCTATTGTTGATAACAGTGTGTTAGTGTAGGTGCAGTGGAGGTTCGTGAAGAGTAAATAAGTATATACGTAAATCATTCTCATCCTTCATCCTTCTGAGAGTACGCATACTAATAAAAATATTTATACCATATTCTTGGCTCGCAGGTGGACCTTCATCATTTCATTAATTTCAATTTTATTTATAGAGCACATTTCATGCATAAAGCAAACTCGGTGTGCTTTACAGACATCACGCAATTACGTGAAAGTTATCACGAAATACACTGGTACCTCTCCTATCGCAGTCGTTGCTTTTCAAGATCCAAGAAATGGGAAAATTCGCGTAATAGAGTCGAGATAGTTATTAATGATTTACGTAAATACGTATTACCCCTCACGAACCTCCCTACACCGTTATCAACAATAGAACAACAGCAACAGTGCCCTCCTGTGTCTAACTGGGGTACCCTACATTAATTAAATGCCCACCATACAGTACAAATGTCACACATGACATGCCGGTATCATGTCTATTACCCTGTATGTATGTGTGGCAAAATGTCTTAGATATACTTTCTCATGCTCACGAGAAAGTATCTCGTGCACACATGATACGTTTCTCTTTTTTTTTTCTATGTCCCTTTAGGGGCTCCGTAAAAATGTTAGTCAAAAAATCAAACTATGCCTTCTAGGCTGAAGCGTCTTCTGAGGATGAGTACACACCATCCCGAGTCAACCAGTCTGTGGAGGAGCCAGACAGGGATGTGTTCATTGTGCAGGTCAAAGGTCTGCCATGGTCATGCTCTGCTGAGGACCTCATGCAGTTCTTCTCTGGTAAGAATTATGTGAAAATACAGGTTAAGGTTCAATAGTAGTAGGTAGTCCCTTGCTATTTCATGGTTCATCTTTCGTGGGTTCATGACTTCGCGGGTTTTTAAAACTGTATATATCAAATTTACTGTATCCCGGATTTGGATCTGCAAGAGATGTCACGGGAATGGGACGACGATATGGTTCGATTTTGCAAAAAAAATCGACAACGTCATGACAGCCTACAAGCTACTCTTCGTCTGGAAAAAGAAGCAGCGGAAGCAACTGTCGATTACAATGTTTTTGCAGCCTCGCAAAAAAGAGCTAGTTCTTATACTACGCATACACCTTCAGAAACCGTGGAATTGTTCCATTTCTGAATTCTGTTTTGCTGTTGCAGACTGTAGGATCCGTGATGGGTTGAATGGGATACACCTGACTCTGGACAGACGGGGAAGGCCATCGGGTCGAGGCTTCATCGAGATGGAGGATGAGGAAGACGTCAGCAGAGCTTTAGAGAAACACAGACAGTACATCGGTGAAAGATATGTAGAAGGTTTGTCTCTTTGAGGGACGCGTACATTTATGATTTGTCCAAAATGATTAACTGGACGTTTCGAGGTATTTGTATGAAATCACATGTTGCGTGTGTCTGCAGTGTATGAAGTGACAAACGGTGATGCTGAAGCCATGCTGAACAGACCCTTAAAGCCTGCAGCTGACAGCAGGGTGGTGCGGCTCAGGGGTCTGCCCTTCTCATGTACAGAGGACGACATAGTCCAGTTCTTCAGAGGTAAACTGTCTCCGATGGATGTGTTGTGTTATTTCAATTTTAAATATTTTTTTAAACTGTTCCAACAGTAGGTAAAGTCACTTAATAATAAAAATATTTGTTTTTGTTTATAAACCAAAAACAAAAGTGAATCTGCTTTCATTGTCAGGTTTGAATATAGTAGAGAATGGAATCACCTTCATCACGGACCGCAGAGGAAGGCCTACAGAGGCCTACGTGCAGTTTCCCTCCCAGAGAGAGGCAGATGAAGCTCTGCAGAGAGATAAGGAGTTCATAGGGAACAGGTAAGAAGCATCTCTTAGATTCTGCAGTTATTCATTTTTGTACAGCAATTCTCAATGCTTAAAGTACATGTTTAACCACCATTTTCCCCGATGATGGCCGTGTTTTCTTTATATACTGACCTATGGGGAATATTTGCAGGTACATTGAAGTGCTTACCAGTGCAAGTGATGAGAGTCCCCCAAGCTGGAAGAGTAGGAATAATTCAGCATCTGCACAGAAGAGTTCTCAGTCGGCCATCAGAACTCTTTCCATCCCAAAATACAACACAGAAACTGGTGAGAAATGGATAACCCATTACAGACAAGAGACCACTCAAGACTAATGTTATTCAAACATAGCATATCATATAATTCCTATGTACATTAATCTTAAAGAGGGACATATACTAAGTTATACATCAAAAATATACTGTTTCTGCCCCTTTCTGAGTAGTTTATTGAAATAAATATCATGTTGCATCAAACCTAAAAAAAAAAAATTAGAAACTGATTATAAACTGACTGAATACCCCTTTGTTTGCTCCATCAGGATCTCCACAGATCTCACCTGCAATGCTTCATTGTGTCCATATGAGGGGGCTTCCTTTTAGGACATCTGGAGAAGACATTGTGAAGGTAAAAATACTTTGTGAATTAAAATATGTCCAACTCAAACAGGCTTAAAATGTTACTAAACTTAGAAACTACATAAAAAACAATAAACTTTCCTAGCTTAAATACAAGACACATTTTAGCAACTACACCATTCTGATATTTCTATCAATGTTGAGAGACAAACAAGTTTTTTTTCTGATATAAGCGCTGCAGTTACTGTTCTGTGCTTGCACTGAAATTTTGAAAAATATTCTTTTTTTTTTTCTTTTTTTTTCCTGCAGTTTTTCTCCCCTCTACCTGTATCCAGCATCCTGATCGCATGTGGTGCTGACGGGAGGCCGAATGGAGAGGCTGATGTTCATTTTAGCTGCCACCAGGATGCTGTGGCTGCCATGTCCAGAGATAAACATTACATAGGTAGGCCTGTCAGAGTATCTGAAAAAAACTGATTTTATTAACAGTTCAAATCACAATTATTTTTTTTGTTGCAAATTCTGTTAAAATATGCAAATAAACTCAGATTTCTCCCAAATTCTATATCATTATGTCAATGGTAGACTAGTGGTTCTTCAACTTTTTCTACTCTGTACCACCTGCGAAAACCTTGATCTCTCTGAGTACCACCATGATGACCAACATTAGAATATAGCAGCATAGACCTTCACTATTAGCTTCCACCACAGGAGAGATGTTTAGAAATGTTTAGAAAGATGTTTATGTTTAAATGTTGTATTAATTGTGCATGGTATGTTTCAGATTTATTCAACTGAAAATGTAAATGTGAAAATGTGAATTTCCCCGTGTACCACTAGAGAGCGCTCGCGTACCACTGGTGGTACAACAGCTTGAGAACCACTGGTATAGATAATATATTAACCACTAACACTAATAATGTTTGACTTGTTTTTGCAGGAGAAAGATTCATCGAGTTGTTTTTGAACTCTACACGAGACAGTTGATAGAAGGTGAAACATCAAACATCAAACAACAACAATGACGATGAATTTGGTTATCGCTTCAAAGTGAAATAATATTCGGTATGTTGAGTTTTTATTTCACTGTGTGTTATTTAAGACGTCCTTCTTCGTCCTCGGTGAAAAATACAGTTGTATGTATTTACTGTCTGATCTGATTATCAAACAATAAATATAGAATCTGTTATCATTTAACATGAGGTCAATCAATTACAGTTTTCGGTAAATGTGTCTGTGAGGGCAGTGCATTAACCCTTGTACGGTCCTTCGCATTTTGGTACACACCGTTAGTCCTTGCAATGATTTTCATCTTGTCCCAGAATGAGTATTAATGAATATGAGGAAAAGTTGGCACAAGTCACGCAGTACAGGAACATGCACACACGCACAAACACACAGACACAAACACATATTGGGTCTAGGTGACCTCCAACTTTACAAGGGTTAAACAACCAGGTCGTCGCAGGTTAATCGTGTATTTATGTAATGAAACATGCCGTTTTATTGACTGTAACGATGTGTCATGTATACATTTGCCTCTTTAAACGTTCAATGTTCAATGTATACTTGTAGGTTTTTTCATAATTTGTAATTAATGGCCGACAGAATACTGTACCGAAAAAACACTTTACCGTAGAACTTGTCTAATTACTGTGTTTTACAGTACCTTGTCAGGACGTTTCAGTTCCAACATAACTTCAATTACTTTCGCCATAAATGCTAATGTAAGTCAAGCTAGTCCAGTGGTGTTCTTAGCACAAGTTTTGTCGCATCATTATGCTCAGAAACTCGTGGATGCAGGGAAAGTTGCCTCTGACCATCAACTTACATAGCGATAAACGACAAGATTACTTTTATAAAGAAAGTAAAATGATATGACAGGATTTTTGTGGATAAAGTAAAGTAGTAAAAATTAAGTACATTTGTGTCCCAATGTGGCCAAATGACCAATGGACAGCTACTGGTCTGCGGACCGGGGATTGGGGACCCCTGATCTATAAAGTCTTCCATTTACAACCGGCCCTTCAGGGTGAACTGTATTGCTAACGTGGCCCCTGGTGAAAATGAGTTTGACACCCCTGCATTAGGTGGATTGTGGGGTCTCACCAACTGAGATCTGATTGGTTACAGTACTCATCGAATCACCGCTAATTTTAGGCTACATACGCTAGCGTTATTGATTCTTTGGGTAGATTTTTTTGACCCTAGTAACCAGTAAGTGGTGTCTGAAATCTGATTGGATACAACCTTGAACGTTAACATCTGTAGAAGCAGTACAGCCGGAGGGAAAATGGTGACAAAATGTTTTTTAAATACAATTAATTGAAGGAAAATACAAAAAACAACCGTAAGATAGTGAATCTGATTCCGTAATAATAGTAACGGAATAGTAATTTACTTCTGACCTAATCATAAATTGATATATGGCATACTTAAACCATTTTACCTGTATATTATTATGTATGTAGGGTGTGTAGTCAAAAATTCAAACATTGTGAGGTCATAATAAAACTTTAATTAAACTAATAAGCATTTCAATATTGCATAGTAACTGGCTTAAGACAACACTGAATTTGCTGAACTTGTAATTATTCTTCATTCAAAACAACCATGGTAACGATGAAATGCTAAGCCCCTCTTTACACACAAGTCACGCAAAGAGGAATTCATTTGTGTAATAAGTGCACTGATTTGATAAAATACTCAGGAAAAAATGGAAATCAGCATAACTGAAGCATAAACCAAGTCCTGCAGTGATGTATGATTGTAACGTTAAATCAAAAAACAAAAATGCAGAGAAATTATCCTTGAATTATCTAAAAGTGTGGGGAAAATATTTTGTTTTTCATGATAAAATCTATTTAATATATGCAATCCCAGAACAATCTCATAAAACAGGTACAAGTCTTTTTACCTTTTATTTCTAGGTTGTGCAAAAATGATGGCAAAAGTACACAGTTACTGAGTGTTTGATACCTCCATGCAACTGTTTTACTTCTTATGTAAATGTAAGGAGGACTGATGTTAGGCTTGAATTTATCTCTGATGTTTTAAGGATGTACAGTATTTTATTTTTTTATAACACGATGAGACGTAAATATAGGCAATTTTAATTTTTCAGATAATTAACCATTTCTCTAAATAAACATCTGCCTACAATGTCACATTTTAACTTTTTTTTTAACAAATACAATGATGTGCCTAACATCATCGTATTTGTGAATCTGTTGCACACACATTATGTTCTCTTTCAGAAATTCTTTCCCTTTATTGAGAATATTGTCACTTTACTCCAACTGGTTGACATTGTGTGAAGTCCTCTTCTTAAAACATGAGATGATTTCTGTCATTTACACATCAATAAACCATCAGCAACTAACCTGCAGTAGAAGCTCATAAAGCACTATCAAGCAGATTAAGTTGTTTGAGTAAATAAAAACCTGCGCGCACACAACTTATTGGCAAACTTTCTCACATGTGGACACTACCAAATAAACAACAAACTAAAATCTCCATTTCAGGAATTAGACATTTCCATGACATGCCAAAAAGTGCATTTTTAAGGAGCCAGTTTTACACCTGTTCCCCCTCTTGTTAAGTCTATGGCTGTTTATGTGGGTGTGGATGCATACTGCTGGAGTAACAGGGAGTAGCAGGAGGAGCACACGGTCTCTGGTTGGATGGAGGAAGGTAACGGCAGCTCATTGGACACGCAGTTCTCACAGAAAACACCACTGCAGTTTTTACACTGTTTCTGGAGACAGTTAAAAAATCAAGGCATTGGAGTTTGATTTAACAACTTTGTAATATACTGTTAGCAGACAGGATAAACACTAGGGTTGGAAACATCTGGTCAGACTTTATAAATGAGAAATGATCCCAATAATTTTAGCAAAAACAATTGTTAATACTAACAATAATTCTTATCATTTTCTCTGAGCTTAAGTGATAGAAAATAAGCTTTTATTGCAAATTCAAAATCTGTGGTGTTGAAAAGAACAGGGTTGCATGTTTAAATCCCAGCCCAGGCTCCTTCTACCTTTGTCTTCAGAATCGAGTCTTCCTGATCACACAGCGAACACATGGACGGTTGACCGATCTTCACAAATGATGGCACCGTCTGCAGACAATTTGCCAAAGTATATATACTATTTATTGCACAATAATACTGTACTGTGTTTAGTGGCAGTTACACTGTATTATACACCCTTTTGCAGTGTTTCCCAAATCTTCCCAAAGTCACAAACCTTCGCTACCCAAGTTAATAGACATTATTTGTAAACTCCTGGGCAAAGAAGACGACCCCCTAAAAAAATCTCTTGCGACCCACCCGAGGGTCACAACCCAGTCTTTGGGAAACAATGCCCTATAGCACTCTGTAACTATTTTGATAGAGAAACTTTGTTTTTGTTTGTTTGCCAGATCAATGTAATCAACGTCAAAATAATATTTTAAGACAATTTTTCATAAGACTTTAGGTGATTTGTAAAAGAAGAATCCTTACCACTTCATCCTCATTTGACAAGGTCCTGAAAGAGAAGGACATTTTGAACATTTAAAATGACCAGTGTACAGTGGGTACGGAAAGTATTCAGACCCCTTTAAATTAGTCACTCTTTGTTTCATTGCAGCCATCTTGACAGAAAAAAACAGAAATGTAGAAATTTTAGCAAATTTATTAAAAAAGAAAAACTGAAATATCACATGGTCATAAGTATTCTAAAATGAATGATTTTACCAAATGGCTGCAATGAAACAAAGAGTGACAAATTTAAAGGGGTCCGAATACTTTCCGTACCCACTGTATTTACAATAGCATTTCTCAAAAACTCATTTTCAGAACTAAATTGCTTACAAACTGGAGCTCAGACTAGACTTGTCCTCTGGTCCACTGTGCTGCTGCTCAGTGTCTCTATTCACGGATGGTGAATCTGGGAGCTGCTGAAGACAGAAATGTGTTTTCAAATTTGTGACAAACACAGTTTTGTGTTTGCACGTGACTGGTTCAGAGGCGTATTTGGAGCACGGTCTTACATTTGGTAAGTTCTCTGACAGCACCCATTCCCTCTGAGGAGCGCTGGATGCACGGGGTGTAATGATAGGTTGATGCTGGCTCCTGCGTTCTCGTCCTTTTTTCAGCTCATGTTCCAAAACAGCCCTGAAATATCACCACAAAATAAAAAAGAAACACAAGAATCCTTAAAATACATTTCCCTGACTTCTACAAAATGTGCTTTTTTATACTAGCAGTCCTAGTTTTTATTAATATGAGACCCAAATGGCAAGAACTAATTGATTAAGAGTATGTATGAGAAAACATTTCAGATTAACAAGACGGATTAGTACGTTAAAGTGATGTGATTTAAGATAAGAACATCATAGAATTTAGTGAAACATTTGACCTTCTGATTACAGTTATGGTGCATTTGGTTTGGACTGTACCAAGATGAACTGTCAGGATGTGTCTTTAACAGCAACACATCCTGACGATCTCTCCAGTGTGGTGGAAGCTATTAGCTTCCACCACACTGGAGAGATGTTTAGAAATGTTTAGAAAGATGTTTATGTAATATACATATAATTGTACATGGTATGTTTCAGATTTATTCAATTGAAAATGTAAATGTGAAAATGTGAATTTTCCCCACATACCACAGGTGGTACACGTACCACAATTTGAGAACCACTGCAAGTAACAGTGATTCTGTCAATTTAACACATTTGATTCTTTGCCGTAGCTGCTTTTCCTTGTTAGTCAGTCATTCAGTCAGTGTAGTGACTGATTTAGTCCAAAGTGACATTTCTCGGTACCTCATTCCTACTTCCTACCTGTGCTTCCTCAGCTGCTCCACCTCCACCTGCAGACTCTCGATTTTGTCCCCAAACTCCTCTTTGAAGAGCCGGTTGGCCTCAAAGGCCATGTCCCTTTCCTTCTCTGCCTGTTTGCATCTGGTCAGGGGTTAGGGGGGTGGGGGGTTACCACAAACTCATGACAAAAAAAAATTAAAATGTGATGAAATGAACACATGACAGGGAAACGTGTGTTTAAAACAAAACGAAACGGAGGGAAAGAAAGAGAAACTAAGGCTCAAGAAGATGTTTTTGTGTATCGTTTTATTAGCCTAATGATCACTACAGTTCACACCAATGTTATGGTCACATACAATTCAAATTAATAAATTAATTTTGCCCTTCACGTCTCGCATCTCCCTGTATTGATCTTCAACTCTTACGTGAGGATTAACAAATAGCAAAAAACAAACCAAAATATTCAGTTGCTAACCATCTGGCCGTCTAGTCTGTGTTAGATAGAAAATATTTAATCACACTCTGTAGAAGAGATCTAATAAATCACATCATCACAGCTAATCCTTAATATCCAGAATGTGTCACACGGTACATCTTAGTCAGTCCTTCATTTTGGAATAATGTCTAAAGTGGACATTCAGGCCTCAGGCCTCGTCTCAAATCGTGGCTGAAAAGCACTAAGGGTCCAAATTAAAAATATTATTCTGATACCATGAACACGTCTGTAGGCAACACAAGGATTCAGGAGCTGCTAAAAGGGTCGACTGGGTCCACACTATTCAAAGCTGCTGCTGTGGAGCCACTGCAGAAGTTGTGGCAAGGATGCTTTAATTTTCAACAACAGAGGAGCATCGTACAGAAAGAAAAGATAACACCCTAGTTTGGTTATTCTATTATATTTAGCTGGGGTTTTTATGTTTGTATTCAGTTATGAAAGCCACAGCGGCTCTGCTACTGCTGTAGCTGCAGCAGTTTCTCTGCTGCCGAGTTCAAGTTACGGGCCTGTTTCACCGAATGTTTCTCACTGATTTGAGAAGAAGAATGACAAATGCCAGAAATAAGTAAAACAAAAATAAATACGTAATGAAGGGGGAAGTGAAAGAGGGAAAATGGCAGAGACAGCAAAATATTTTTTTTTATGTAAATGGGTTTAAAATAAAAAAAAAACGACCCTTGTTTTGATGAAATTCCAAAAGGCATTAAACCTCCTCTCACCTGGTCTCCAGTTGTTTCACGGTCCCTGACATCTGGTTGATTTTCTCCTCCAGGCGAACAATGACTTCACTCTTCTGTTTGGAGCTGGTGTCAGTGCTCTGAGGGAGATCCACCATGTTAGTCAAGTCCTGTCTCAGTCATCAATAAACTTAGACTTAAACTTTCTCTATCATCATCGCACAGAAACACAAAAAGCAGTAAGTCTGGCAACGGAATGTCGTTGCTTGGCAACCGGAGTACACAGTACAATGTACACAGCTTATAGGCCATGAGTAGCTACATTGAGGTATGGCTATATATATATATACATATATACGTATATATATATATGTATATATATGTGTGTATGTATGTGTGTATATATATATATATATATATACATATATATGTGTGTGTGTATATATATATACTGTACATATATATAGTGTATATATATATAGTACATACTGTATATACGTATGTGTATATATATAGAGAGAGTATATATATATATACATATATGTGTGTGTGTGATTTGGCACATAGTGTGCACTAGTGCAGAACAAGATTGTGCTAAATATAAACTAATGGTAAATATAAATATAAACAGTTTGGAAGTGACAAATGTAAACAGGAATAAATAAATATTAGCATGGATTGGCGTTTATACATTAAATTATGTACCAGGAGAATAGGGATAAATTTGCAGCAGTGTTCTAACTACTGCACGGAAACCGATTGACATGCACATTGATATTGCACTTATTGCTCAGTAATGTAAAGTCTGCAGTGCATCCTATTTATTTCAATGACAATGTCTCACAATTTAGACCAGGGGTGTCAAACTCATTTTCACCGGGGGTCACATCATCAATACAGCTCCCCTTGAGGGCCGGTTGTAAATGGAAGACTGTATAGATCAGGGGTCCCCAACCCCTGGTCTGTGGACCAGTACCAGTCCATAGGTCATTTGGTATGGGGCCGCAGCGGGACACAATGAAAAAATGTACTTCATTTTTACTAATTTACTTCATTCAAAGAAAATTAAGAAAATCCACCACATCCATTTACTTTCTTTCTTCTTCTTGACTGGCAGACCAGTCCTTGTAACCAAAAACATTGGGGACCGCTGGTATAGATGCAACTACTCCATAACAGACTGATACATGTTTCTTATTAAACTTAAACTTATCTTTATTTGTTGTATTATTTAGTCAAGCTAAAAATATTGTCCATTGCTATGTAATAAAAAAAACCTTTTAATTTCTCAGGTCGAAAAAAAATTCTGCAAGGACTTTACTAAATGCTTTTTAAGCTCCCACGGGCCACACAACGGCTTGGCGGACCACATTTGACCCCTGGGCCTTGAGTTTGACAGACATTATTACACATTATTAGTGTGATTTGGCTCATTTATCATATTCTTTTCTGACTGGTGACTGATGATACATCAGCTGCACAGTTAATTAAATCTATAACAGTGGGACACAGGAGAACTCCTAACAATTAATAAAACAATGTTAGTTTTTAATTTCCTTCAAAGACTTATTCAACAACCTTCTTTTCTAAGATGAAAACTAAAGAAAAACTACTGTAAGTGTTTAAATTCTGCAAGTCTATGTCAATCACTGAAAACACAGAGAGAGAAAAATCCCGGCAGCAACAAAGTCCAATCAGCGCTGAGCTTGCTACAGTATGTACATGTGAGAGCCAATCAGAGCTAGGTTTCTTGGCTCACAGAGATCCAATCAGATCTAAGACTAGAGCCAAAAATGACCAGTCAATATGAATATTGTTCACAAACTCTATTTACAGATTTTTTTTTTTCAGGAAAACTGATTTTTTAAAAACAAAAAAACTAGTAAAAAATAAATGAATACACAGAGACGTTTTATTGGTCGGTGCCTCAGAGATATAACGTTTACCTGTGACTTGTGGGTAAGCTGTTGGTTGATGGCACGAAAGTCTTCCAGCTGCTGTCTGAGCTCCACCAGAGCGTCCTGCTTCTCGCAGACGTCTTTCTCCAGCATCTTCATGGACAGTTCCATCTCCTGTTTCATCCCAATCTGCACCTCCAGCTCCTTTTCCACATCCTGCTCAGACATCGGGATTGCATTCAAATCCGGAAAACTCACAGGACACATACAACCACCTCCGGGAGTCACCAATCAAACCCACCAATCGGAGCAGAGTTTCCTCTTTGAGCTGTTTCCGTGTTTCTCCCAGTGCTTGTCCGTCCACCGCTGTGTCATTTTTTAAAGCCTGTAAAAAAACAGAGCAGACAGTGTAAGATAATTAGAAAAAATACCTTTTGCATTCATAAATACATACATGTTATACATGTTGTAAATACAAATGTTTGTTTTCATTTAATTACTTGTTTACTCCTCCACAGACATTTATGGGCTCTAATGATGATTAATATGAGGAAGTGAAACATCAGAGGCTCCACAGGAGTCAAACAGACAAATCAGGCCTGACTGGCCTGACAAGGGAAATGCACATCTCTGGTTATTGTCGAACAAGTGTTTTTTTTTCTTTTTTCTGTATTTTTAGAATGTTGTTTCCATCCATTTCAGACATGAATCAACAGTTTGACATTCTGGACTTTTCACAGTTTGACCCGTTGTCCCTCTGTGAAGATGGTGGACGATAAAAAGACTAAAACCAAACATTTTCCTCACCTTTCTGGACTCCAGCTGATAGGAGCTCTCCTCTTTTACTCTCTCCACATCTTCTTGTAATGTGATGATCCTGTTATTTGCCACAGCCAGCTGTGGAAACCAAAAAACAGAGGTGCAGGAATATTACACTTTTAAATGAACAAAAGAGCATCACAGGTGTACGTTTAAGGTTGAGCTTACTTCTTCTGTGAGCTTTGTGTTGGACTTTTCCAGGGCATCCACTTTGGCCTGGAGGTTATTTACTGATGCACTGGAAAAAAGACATAAATATGTCATGTGAAATTAATAGTAATTTCAAACTAGAGGGGAATACGTAGGTGATGAGGGTGTCTTTGTGACAAACCTTAGATGTCTGTTCAGCTCCTCCACGTAGTTCTTCTGATCCAGAATGGCTGTGATTTGACCATCGCTAAAGAAGCAATGTCGAAATTAAAATTGAGAAATTCAGTTGAGGGATTGAGGTAAAATATACACAAGAATTTGACGTGTATACAGAAATAGTTAACATTTGGTTTAATAATATAATTTAGTTTTAAAACTGACTAATTCGGCTCTTTTCTAATTCTTGCACCAACTGTAACAGACAACCAAAAATTAAAGCAAACATTTTCTGAATAAGTAAATTTCCCAGTTTTGCTATGCATGTTCTAGGATAAATAATTATTTTTTGAAATTCATGTTAAAATTTAACCTTAGCCAGAGACTTAAAATCTAGTCCTATTAGAAAAAAACACTCAGATTTACAGACTAAGCAGGAACACCTGAACGCATCAGTCTCTCATGATCAACAACTTTTAAACATGTAACATTCACTGCACAATAGTACTTGGTAACTTTTTCTTTCCATACTGTATATGACAGTATTACAGACTGGACTCCTGATTTGTTTGGAGATTGACTCACCCCTCTGCACTCTTACTGCTGTGTCCACCATCTTTAAGGTACATCGAGAAATCAATCACCCCAACCTGCAAGAGGAAAACAAAAGAGGATAATAAAATCACAACAATAAAATCAATGTATTTTTTTCATACTTTAAAATGATTAGGATAAAACCTTGCTGTGCCTCAGACTTTTTGTGTCCAAACAGTTGATGAAAATGTCAATACATTTTGCAATTGACTGATTTTTTTTTTCATCTTTACTTCTCACAGTAAAACCTAATCCTTGTCCCACATGTATTAGTCCTGACCTGGTCATACTTCTAAGTCCTGACAGGAGTGTAATCTTCTGCTTTTGCTGTAGCCCATCTGCTAACGGTGTAACATTTGTATAAATCTTAACACGTGGGTGTTAAACTCTCTATCACATGGCTTAATCGTGAGTTACTGCTGCATTAGAGAGTAGTTTAATGCGTGCACCTAATATAACGGCCAATAACTGTACATCTTACTTTGAAGTCTGCATTAATCAGTGAAGCAGAAAATTACAGTCGTTGCAGCAGTTAAAGTGTCACTTTATGTCTTTATACAAATAGGCACCCGACCAGCTCTAACAGTGATTCTGGCCTCATTCTCAAAATTCGACAACCAAAAGTGTTAGTTTTCTGCAAGGTTTGAGAACAGTTTATTTAATGTTACAGGATGGATATCATATTGAAGAAAATGAACAGAAGTAAACTTCTGAGATGCAGTGATACAGCTCTACTGTGTTTCATCAGTGAGGTGTTAATAAAGAATGTGCAGAAGGAAGTAAAAGCAGACGAACCTGTGAGTCCAGGTCTTCTCCCTTCATACACAAATTGGCGTCAATGACATTTAGTCCCACGAGCAGCCCAGCGATGACGGCGCCCTCCTCCTCCATCATCAGTGCATTTGGTTCGTAGAATTCACTGCAGAGCGCAGATAAGATTTTAAATGTTAGATAACATCATTATATTATATTATTGTTATACAGTGGAACCTCGACATATGAATATTTCAAGAGACGAGCAAACCTTCGAGTAAATTTTTGCTTCGAGATACGAGTAAAGACTTGAGATACCAGCACGCTTACAGACGCCAATGCTAGGTGGCCGAGCACTCGGAGCAGCCCACGCCGCTTCACTCGTTCACTTGTCGTACTCATACATATTGTGTTTGCATTATCTATGAGATTTTCTGTCTATTCTGTGCATTTTTCTTCATAATAGTGATGAGTTCTAAGAGAGTGAGTGGTAAGGATGGTGGTCAGAAGAAGAAATGCATGATGAGCAGGAATTTGTTGATAAATATGAGCATGGTGCCAATAAAGAAGAAAAAAAAAGTAAGTCAATTTAATTCTAAGTTTATGTAAGCTCTGTAGGTATGAGTAGTGTATGAGTTAAGTGTACGTGTAAGGTACGGTCTGGAATCAAGTGTCTACGTTCTTCCCTTCTTCCCTTCCTCCCTTCCTCCCTCCCTCCTCCTCCTCCTCCTGCTCCCCACATGCCTCCATTAGCCGCTACTGTATCGTCTGTCTCGAAGCTAAGAACTCATAATTAAAACCACATTTTATTTTATATATACAGTACTATCATTTTTATTTTTCTCGATACAACTTGGCAGGGACCCAAATATTCTGGTTTTAAAATGACCTTTAAGTTGCATAACAATTTGATTAATCGCAGAAAATCATGAGATTAATCATGACACACACACACCTGAGCAGGTCCTTTCTGTTGATGATGGTCTTCATGTAGTCGGAGAGCTTCTTTTGCATCAAGGCCAGTCGTAACCACGCACGTCCTCTTCCTAAAGGAGTCCTATACAAATTATACAGAGGCTGTTTATATCAATTCTGACCAAAACATTTACCAGTGAAAGATCAACGAAATAAAAATGGCTCATTAAGCCGAGTAAACAGTGAATTTCACCTCAAAGAATTTTTTTAATCAGAATTCTACAGTGATAAAAAAATCAATATATATTTACTAGATCCAAATGTAAGGTTAACACTTCCACACACTCACTTTAAGCCGGGCAAGTCCTTCACACTGGCAGTGATTTCTCCGGCCTCTGGTGTCAGCTTCTCCACTAGTTCTAATGCCCCCCAGAACGACTTGTTCTGCCCCAGGAAGGTCTTTTTAGCTGATGGTCGAGAGACAAATGTAGTCAGCAACAAAGCCTAACTAACAGTCACCATGTTCCACAGCCTGGATCTATATGTAATAATGACACTAATAATGGAAGAAAACTAGGCCCGTCAAACAATTACATTTTTGTTTAATCTGATTAATCACAGGGGAGCTGTGGATCAATAGCAATTATTCATGATTGTTCAACATAAATCAACATGCTTTAAAAGGCATTAAAACAGGATTGATTTCACAATAAACATTAATTTTTCACAGCCCTGTTTTCAACAGGTATTAAAATAAATACAAGGTAAATTCTGACAGTCAGCTCTAAACAGACAATACTGTGTTACATACGTACTCTTTAAGCCGTGCTTCAGACAGTGCTCCATCACCACAAAGAACTGCTGGAGTGGAGCGTAGTCAGAGTCAAGTGTGCGCCCCAGGTTAAGCGCCGACTCAATCAGACCCTTAATGCTCAGTTTGGCCATGTTCATCAAGTTAAGCCTTTCGATTGCAATGGGATCCTTGGGATCTGAAGGGACACAAAAAACATTTTTGGACACTGTGGCGATGACTCGGGCAATAATCAACACTTTAATTCTCAACACTTTAAAAGACGAGAACCTTTTTTCTAATCCATAAATTAAGTTTTTTTAAATCTGAAACTTGAGATTATCGACTAGCTACAGTAAGCACTTAATTCTTAGCATTATCCATCTGTGCAGGAACATCACATTGATTATTAATGAAAGTAAATGATGATGAGGAGCTTTAGTGGAAGTTATCCTATTTTCCAGCCAGCCTTTGTTTTGTTCATACGTTGGCACTAACTTTTCTCTAAGTTTGTCCTCATTGAAACAAGATCCTTTAACCACTCAGCGCCAAAGTTGTATTTGCGGCAGCAGTTGTTAAAAAAAAAAAAAAAAACGTAATCAAAGTCTAAGATGCACTGTATCATAAATGTACCATAAATGTGTGGTAGTATATGTTAAAATAGTAGATGCTAAGATTGTCTTTAGGAGTGACAAGAATGGACAGGATCAGGAATGAGGTCATTAGAGGGACAACACAGACAGGAAGGTTTGGAGAAAAAGCTAGAGAAGCCAGATTGAGATGGTTGGGACATGTGCAGAGGAGGGACAGTGGATACATTGGTAGAAGAATGTTAGAGATGGAGCTACCAGGTAGGAGACAAAGAGGAGATATATGGATGCAGTGAGGGAGGACATGCAG